TTGCCTTCCCCAGTGAACCTACCAGCATCCCAGCTGTAAAGCAAAGCAGGGACTGGCAGGATGGGGAAGTTACTGGGGCTGACCAAGACATTGCCAGGAGCAAAAATATCATTGTCTTTAATTGTGTGATCTGTGTTGTGGCTTGTGGCTCTTATGCAGTAAGAATGAGCAACAGAACGTCCCTGTCCAGGGCTCCTGTTGTATCCACCCACCACCAGCAGCACTACCTGGTCCCTGGTATCTGGGCAGGAGGCGATTCCAAGTCAATTTGTAAATCTCTTCACAGCAAATCAACACCACAGCTGCAGGCAGCTCCATCAAGAGCAGCTCCCACATCTGTTGGGGAATAGGTCCAAGGCAGCAGGACAACAGCTGTGGAAAGTGCTAGATGCTGTCCCTGCCTTGGACAGACTCAGTGCAGTGGCTTTTCCAGCATTCATTTGGATTAACACACCAGGGTCATTCAGCAACTCTGACCTAGGCTAAAACAGAGATCTGGGCTGGAATGTACTGGAAGTGCTGTGTTGAGTGGCTCAGTTTGAGTGGCACTGGGAGACAGAGCAGCACTGAGCTCCAAGAGAACCGAGCCTTTCAACCCACTCTGTTCCCTAGCAGTCACAATCAGGAATTCTGCTTTTTATCTCCCCCAAACACAGCCCTTGCCTTCCCCAGTGAACCTACCAGCATCCCAGCTGTAAAGCAAAGCAGGGACTGGCAGGATGGGGAAGTTACTGGGGCTGACCAAGACATTGCCAGGAGCAAAAATATCATTGTCTTTAATTGTGTGATCTGTGTTGTGGCTTGTGGCTCTTATGCAGTAAGAATGAGCAACAGAACGTCCCTGTCCAGGGCTCCTGTTGTATCCACCCACCACCAGCAGCACTACCTGGTCCCTGGTATCTGGGCAGGAGGCGATTCCAAGTCAATTTGTAAATCTCTTCACAGCAAATCAACACCACAGCTGCAGGCAGCTCCATCAAGAGCAGCTCCCACATCTGTTGGGGAATAGGTCCAAGGCAGCAGGACAACAGCTGTGGAAAGTGCTAGATGCTGTCCCTGCCTTGGACAGACTCAGTGCAGTGGCTTTTCCAGCATTCATTTGGATTAACACACCAGAAACTCCTTCCAACATGGCTTTAGGTACTGGGCAAGGCTCAGCTGGCTGAAATATCAGTATCGTGGGGTACAGCACTGCGTTTCTCACATCAGCCAGAGTACCGCTCCATTGTCACAAGCGCAGCACTGCAGTAACTGAGTTACAAAAGCCAAAGGTGTTGGGAGCTGCTGCTGAGAGCTGAGGGCAGGGCAGGGCAGGCTCAGCAGCGAGTGCCGAGAGCCCTCTTCAGGCCTCGGCTGGAAAGAAAAACATAATAATAATAACATAATAATAACAAATACCCCCCAAAAATAGCTTTCCCAGGAGAAGCCTCCAAGGCAGATAAGAAGGGACACATATCTCCCAACACCTGCAGGGCAGCAAAGCTCCCCAGCCCTTCGTGCGCCTTCACTTCCCAGCGGGCAGCAGGGGCTGATGAGCCGGGACAAAGCCAGGGGAGTGTCACAGATCGGCGTGGTCTGGGTGGGAAGGGACATTAGTGCTCTGCTGATCCCGGCGAGCGGCCGGGGAAAGGGAACACCAGCGGGATGGGACAGCCGGGACGGGGATGGGGACACCAGCGGGATGGGACAGCCGGGACGGGGAAAGGGAACACCAGCGGGATGGGACAGCCGGGATGGGGACGGGGAGCCCCAGGGGGATGGGACAGCCAGGACGGGGAAAGGGAACACCAGCGGGATGGGATAACCGAGATGGGGAAGAGAAACCCCAGCGGGATGGGACAGGCGGGCCGGGGATGGGGAACCCAGCGGGATGGGACAGCCGGGACGGGGATGGGGACACCAGCGGGATGGGACAGCCGGGACGGGGATGGGGACACCAGCGGGATGGGACAGCCGGGACGGGGATGGGGACACCAGCGGGATGGGATAACCGAGATGGGGAAGAGAAACCCCAGCGGGATGGGACAGGCGGGCCGGGGATGGGGACACCAGCGGGATGGGATAACCGAGATGGGGAAGAGAAACCCCAGCGGGATGGGACAGGCGGGCCGGGGATGGGGACACCAGCGGGATGGGACAGCCGGGACGGGGATGGGGACACCAGCGGGATGGGACAGCCGGGACGGGGATGGGGACACCAGCGGGATGGGATAACCGAGATGGGGAAGAGAAACCCCAGCGGGATGGGACAGGCGGGCCGGGGATGGGGACACCAGCGGGATGGGATAACCGAGATGGGGAAGAGAAACCCCAGCGGGATGGGACAGGCGGGCCGGGGATGGGGACACCAGCGGGATGGGACAGCCGGGACGGGGATGGGGACACCAGCGGGATGGGACAGCCGGGACGGGGATGGGGACACCAGCGGGATGGGATAACCGAGATGGGGAAGAGAAACCCCAGCGGGATGGGACAGGCGGGCCGGGGATGGGGACACCAGCGGGATGGGATAACCGAGATGGGGAAGAGAAACCCCAGCGGGATGGGACAGGCGGGCCGGGGATGGGGACACCAGCGGGATGGGACAGCCGGGACGGGGATGGGGACACCAGCGGGATGGGACAGCCGGGACGGGGATGGGGACACCAGCGGGATGGGATAACCGAGATGGGGAAGAGAAACCCCAGCGGGATGGGACAGGCGGGCCGGGGATGGGGACACCAGCGGGATGGGATAACCGAGATGGGGAAGAGAAACCCCAGCGGGATGGGACAGGCGGGCCGGGGATGGGGACACCAGCGGGATGGGACAGCCGGGACGGGGATGGGGACACCAGCGGGATGGGACAGCCGGGACGGGGATGGGGACACCAGCGGGATGGGATAACCGAGATGGGGAAGAGAAACCCCAGCGGGATGGGACAGGCGGGCCGGGGATGGGGACACCAGCGGGATGGGATAACCGAGATGGGGAAGAGAAACCCCAGCGGGATGGGACAGGCGGGCCGGGGATGGGGACACCAGCGGGATGGGACAGCCGGGACGGGGATGGGGACACCAGCGGGATGGGACAGCCGGGACGGGGATGGGGACACCAGCGGGATGGGATAACCGAGATGGGGAAGAGAAACCCCAGCGGGATGGGACAGGCGGGCCGGGGATGGGGACACCAGCGGGATGGGATAACCGAGATGGGGAAGAGAAACCCCAGCGGGATGGGACAGGCGGGCCGGGGATGGGGACACCAGCGGGATGGGACAGCCGGGACGGGGATGGGGACACCAGCGGGATGGGACAGCCGGGACGGGGATGGGGACACCAGCGGGATGGGATAACCGAGATGGGGAAGAGAAACCCCAGCGGGATGGGACAGGCGGGCCGGGGATGGGGACACCAGCGGGATGGGATAACCGAGATGGGGAAGAGAAACCCCAGCGGGATGGGACAGGCGGGCCGGGGATGGGGACACCAGCGGGATGGGACAGCCGGGACGGGGATGGGGACACCAGCGGGATGGGACAGCCGGGACGGGGATGGGGACACCAGCGGGATGGGATAACCGAGATGGGGAAGAGAAACCCCAGCGGGATGGGACAGGCGGGCCGGGGATGGGGACACCAGCGGGATGGGATAACCGAGATGGGGAAGAGAAACCCCAGCGGGATGGGACAGGCGGGCCGGGGATGGGGACACCAGCGGGATGGGACAGCCGGGACGGGGATGGGGACACCAGCGGGATGGGACAGCCGGGACGGGGATGGGGACACCAGCGGGATGGGATAACCGAGATGGGGAAGAGAAACCCCAGCGGGATGGGACAGGCGGGCCGGGGATGGGGACACCAGCGGGATGGGATAACCGAGATGGGGAAGAGAAACCCCAGCGGGATGGGACAGGCGGGCCGGGGATGGGGACACCAGCGGGATGGGACAGCCGGGACGGGGATGGGGACACCAGCGGGATGGGACAGCCGGGACGGGGATGGGGACACCAGAGCTGTGGAAAGTGCTAGATGCTGTCCCTGCCTTGGACAGACTCAGTGCAGTGGCTTTTCCAGCATTCATTTGGATTAACACACCAGAAACTCCTTCCAACATGGCTTTAGGTACTGGGCAAGGCTCAGCTGGCTGAAATATCAGTATCGTGGGGTACAGCACTGCGTTTCTCACATCAGCCAGAGTACCGCTCCATTGTCACAAGCGCAGCACTGCAGTAACTGAGTTACAAAAGCCAAAGGTGTTGGGAGCTGCTGCTGAGAGCTGAGGGCAGGGCAGGGCAGGCTCAGCAGCGAGTGCCGAGAGCCCTCTTCAGGCCTCGGCTGGAAAGAAAAACATAATAATAATAACATAATAATAACAAATACCCCCCAAAAATAGCTTTCCCAGGAGAAGCCTCCAAGGCAGATAAGAAGGGACACATATCTCCCAACACCTGCAGGGCAGCAAAGCTCCCCAGCCCTTCGTGCGCCTTCACTTCCCAGCGGGCAGCAGGGGCTGATGAGCCGGGACAAAGCCAGGGGAGTGTCGCAGATCGGCGTGGTCTGGGTGGGAAGGGACATTAGTGCTCTGCTGATCCCGGCGAGCGGCCGGGGAAAGGGAACACCACCGGGATGGGACAGCCGGGACGGGGATGGGGACACCAGCGGGATGGGACAGCCGGGACGGGGAAAGGGAACACCAGCGGGATGGGACAGCCGGGATGGGGACGGGGAGCCCCAGGGGGATGGGACAGCCAGGACGGGGAAAGGGAACACCAGCGGGATGGGATAACCGAGATGGGGAAGAGAAACCCCAGCGGGATGGGACAGGCGGGCCGGGGATGGGGAACCCAGCGGGGTGGGACAGCCGGGACGGGGAAAGGGAAACCCCAGCGGGACGGGACAGGCGGGCCGGGGAAGAGGAGCGGCCCCGGCCCTTCCGCCGGCGGCAGGAAGCAGGAAGGGAGCGGGCAGGGCTGCGGGGATCCCGGGCGGTGGGTGAGCATCGTGGGGCTGATGGATGGAGGTGATCGGGATGGAGGTGATCGGGGTGGAGGTGGCTCGGGATGGAGAGTCCCCTTGCCCCCGGAGGGATCCCCTCGCCCTCTGTGCTCCCCCACCCCAGCGATGCCACCGTGCAGGATTTTGGGCTGTTTGTCCCCAAAGATTTATTTACCCACCCATCCCAAGCACAGCTTGGGTGGCTTCTCCCCGGCTTCGGGGGCAGGCGCCATCCGTGGCTCAGTGTTGGACCAGGCAGTGCAGGGTTGAGGATTGGAATTGATGATCTTGGATGTCTTTTCCAAATTTAATGATTCTATGAATCCCACTCTCCCGTCTCCTCTGCAGGTCTCTGCTCTTCTCCCCCGCTGTGCAGATGGTGCTCCTGCGGGCTGGGCTCTGCCCTGGTCTCACTGAAGACATGATCCAGCTCCTCAGGGCCAATGCCATCAGGACGGGTAACAGGGTGGCATCAGGGTCTGGGCTTGGGGAACATCATCCCCTGTGTGTTTGGTGGTTTGTGTCATCCCACATCCTGGGAGGGTGGTGGTGGTGCAATAGCCTTCTGTGTCCTCCTTGCTGGATTTCTTCTGGGTCCTCCTGGGTGGGTACTGTGAGTAAGGACTTCTCCAAAGGCGGGACGGGGATGGGGACACCAGCGGGATGGGACAGCCGGGATGGGGAAGAGAAACCCCAGCGGGATGGGACAGGCGGGCCGGGGATGGGGAACCCAGCGGGATGGGACAGCCGGGACGGGGAAAGGGAAACCCCAGCGGGACGGGACAGGCGGGCCGGGGAAGAGGAGCGGCCCCGGCCCTTCCGCCGGCGGCAGGAAGCAGGAAGGGAGCGGGCAGGGCTGCGGGGAGCCCGGGCGGTGGGTGAGCATCGTGGGGCTGATGGATGGAGGTGATCGGGATGGAGGTGATCGGGATGGAGGGTCCCCTTGCCCCGGAGGGATCCCCTCGCCCTCTGTGCTCCCCCACCCCAGCGATGCCACCGTGCAGGATTTTGGGCTGTTTGTCCCCAAAGATTTATTTACCCACCCATCCCAAGCACAGCTTGGGTGGCTTCTCCCCGGCTTCGGGGGCAGGCGCCATCCGTGGCTCAGTGTTGGACCTGGCAGTGCAGGGTTGAGGATTGGAATTGATGATCTTGGATGTCTTTTCCAAATTTAATGATTCTATGAATCCCACTCTCCCGTCTCCTCTGCAGGTCTCTGCTCTTCTCCCCCGCTGTGCAGATGGTGCTCCTGCGGGCTGGGCTCTGCCCTGGTCTCACTGAAGACATGATCCAGCTCCTCAGGGCCAATGCCATCAGGACGGGTAACAGGGTGGCATCAGGGTCTGGGCTTGGGGAACATCATCCCCTGTGTGTTTGGTGGTTTGTGTCATCCCACATCCTGGGAGGGTGGTGGTGGTGCAATAGCCTTCTGTGTCCTCCTTGCTGGATTTCTTCTGGGTCCTCCTGGGTGGGTACTGTGAGTAAGGACTTCTCCAAAGGAGCAGGAGAGTGTGAGGATGTGGTAAGAGATCCCTGCAGAGGCTCATGGAGGATTCATCAATTCTGGCTTTTTATGGTATTTCAGGAGGGTTGTACAGTTTTCCCTCTGAAAAATGCCCAGCTTCTTGGAATGCTGCACCCTGGGCACCTCCTGCCTTGGAGGGGAAGGAAAAGGTGCTGGGCAGCTCTTGAGCAAAACAGGGAAAATTTTTTACCAGCTTTTCTCCCTACTCTGTTTTTCAAGAAACAGTTTGTTCTGTGATGAGTGATGGGGCCATCTCAGAGGACAAACTCCTCCACTCACAGTGCTGACAGAGGGCACAGCCACTTTGCTTGTTGGTGCAGGTTTTGACTAAGCTGGTTGTCTTCTGGTGTTTGTGGTCTGACCATGTTTGGCTTCCAACCTCTTGTCCCTTGTGTTATTTACAGTGGTGGACTTTGTGTCTTCAGACCTGGAGGATGTTGCCCAAAAGTGTTCCCTGTCTTACAAGGTAGAACGTTCTACTCCTAACTCCTGGTACATTAACCAGGGAGCTCAGAGCCCATGTTTGGCTCATGGACAAGGATGGGCTTGTCTGGGGGCCCTTCTGCAGCAGCTGCTGGCTGTTATCAGTCCCATTTCCAGGCGTGCCTCTGCCCCCAGGCGCTGGTTGCAGTCAGACGTGTGCTCCTGGCCCAGTTCTCTGCCTTCCCTGCCAATGGAGCTGACCTCTACGAGGAGCTCAAGAGCTCCACGGCCATCCTGCCCACTGGCAGCCCAAGGTGGGGACCTCACCCCCCCACCAGCTCTGCCTGGGGCTGGGTTTGCTGCACAAGGCTGTGGTTGCCAGCACAACCTGTGAATTTCATTCTCCAGACCATCCTCATGCACTTGTGTGCATTTGGGAAGGGGGCTCTGAGGACAAATACCTTGGGACTGCTGCCTCCTGGTGCCCCTGCCATTCTGGCTGAAGGGGTGTTGATAATCCCCCCTTGTGCCCATCCCACAGCCTGGACCAGCTGCTGGACTCAGGGCTGTACACGGGGGAAGTGACAGAGCTCATGGGAGCACCAGGCACTGGGAAGACTCAGGTGAGTGGGGTGGAGGACAGGGGAGAGGACAGGTAGGGCGAAGATGTCCCACAGAGGGACACGTGAGGGCTGGCTGACCCCTGTCCCTGTCCCCCAGGTGTGCCTGGGCATTGCAGCCAGCGTGTCCCTGGGGCTCAAGCAGCACGTCCTGTTTCTGGACTCCACGGGGGGTTTCACTGCCTCCCGTCTCTGCCAGATGCTCCAAGCCCAGACAGAGGATGAGGAAGAGCAGGCAAGTTCCCCTGGAGCTGGTCCCTCTGCTTGCTCTGAAGCTCATTTTGCTCATTTGCCTGCAAGAAACCCCAGAGGTGGTTTGTCTTTCCAGCTCTGCCTTTGCCCTCATGGGCTTTTTTGAGTCCAAACCTTTCCTTCCCTGGCCCAGTGGGTGCCATGCTCAGGACAGACTCTGTTCTTTGTTGTTTTTCTTGGGAGAAGGGAGGGACTTACCGGATTTGCAGGACTTTGTTCCCTGAGCTCAATCTATGTTGCTTTTCCATCAGTGCCACAGGAGCAGTGGTGTTAATGTGGTGGAGGCAAATGTGGAAGAATAAGGGTGTGTGGCATGGTGTGAGTGCAGAGAGCTGGTGGCACCTGGGTAGGAGAAATAGGAGAAATCCTGGGGCAAGAGGAATAGGACAAACCCTGGGGTAGGAGAAATAGGAGAAATCCTGGGACAGGAGGAATAGGACAAACCCTGGGGCAGGAGGAGTAGGAGAAATCCTGGGGCAGGAGGAATAGGACAAACCCTGGGGCAGGAGGAATAGGAGAAATCCTGGGGCAGGAGGAGTAGGAGAAATCCTGGGGCAGGAGGAATAGGAGAAATCCTGGGGCAGGAGGAATAGGACAAACCCTGGGGCAGGAGGAATAGGACAAGTCCTGGATGAGGAGGAATAGGACAAACCCTGGGGCAGGAGGAATAGGAGAAATCCTGGGGAGACTGAGGCAGGTTCTGTGCTGCAGCTGGAGGCTCTGCAGCGGGTGCAGGTGGAACGTGTGTTCAACATCTACGAGGTGCTGGGTGCCTTGCAGGAGCTGCGGGATCGCCTCTCCCAGCAGGTAGGAGTGAGCCTTGGGGCCCCTCTCCCCTCCCCAGAGCTGCAGGGAGGCCAGCAGGGCTCGTGTGCCTGACAGGTGACTCCAGATTACCTCATGCTGGGCATGCTGGAGCCTCTGTGCAGCTCACAGCCTCCAGAACTGCTGGATCTGTGACTCCACGTTGCACCTGGTGCCTCCTTGCAGGTTGTGAGCTCCGTGGGACCTCTCAAGGTGGTGGTGCTGGACTCGGTGTCGGCTGTGATTTACCCTCTGCTGGGGGGCAGGCAGGCAGAGGGTGAGCTGGGCCACTGGGTGTGCTGTGCTTGGAATGGGGCTGGGGCAGGACAGATCTGCATGTGAGTGCTGCCAGCTTTTCCCTTGGGACTGGATAAAAGGAGAGTGTTTGCAGTGTTAGCAGCAAACACTCCAGCTGGCTGTGCTCACTCCTGGCAGTGGTCTGAAACCCATCCAGGGGAGGCACTGGACTCTTTGCCCATAAAGTAAAACTTCTCTTACTGTGTCAGAAACACATCATGGCACAGTTTGCAGAGCTCCTCTGAGGCCCTTTCTGCCAGAAAGGACCATAAATCAGAAGTGAGGATGCCAAGGAGCCCTCAAGTACCTTCCAGAGGGTCTTGCACAGCTGGGTGGCAGCCAGTGCTGTCACAGGAGGTCCCCTCACAGCTGTGGGCTGTAGGAAATGCAGCTGTGACCTGGAGGGATGGGTCCTGTGCCTGCTAAATCAACCTGGCCAGCTTTGTCTGGAGCTCCTGATGCTTTTGTAGGATTTTTTGGGCCTTCTAAGATAGGAAAGGATGGAGAGTGGTCCAGTGAAGGTGTCCATGAATGTGAGTCCTGGCCCTGAATCCAATGCTCATGCAAATCCAGATGTCAGCTGCTTCCAGGGTGCACTTTGGGGGCTGATCCCAGACAGCCAAATGCTTTGTCCTGCTCCAGGTCTGGCCCTCATGATGCAGCTCTCCAAGGAGCTGAAGACCCTGGCCAGGGAGTTCAGCCTTGCTGTTGTGGTGAGTGTTGCTGTGCTTTGTCCTTCGTGTGCTGGTGCGGGGCAAGGAGCCACGGGGAGGCTCTGGAGCCTGTGGGACAGGGAGCCAGAGGCCTGAACCCCCCAGTGCCCTGCTCTGACATCTCTGCAGCCTGCAGAGGTCTTGTTCCAAGCATGGGACAAGACCTGGGCTGATGTGCTGCCTCCTGCTCTTGCTGTCCTCAGCCATTCATGGGTTGAGCAAGGCAGAGTTAAGTCCAGGCAGGTTGAAAGGCTGGTTGTGTTTATTTTTGATACAACACCGTTCATTTAAGGGGCTGGCCAGCTTGCTGGATAACCTCTTGGTCACCTTGCAGGAGCTGCAGGACATTGCATCATCCCACAGGAGCTGCAAAGGGCCCTGCTCTAGCCTTGCCCAGCTCTTGGCCAGTGCACCAGGCAGGGTGGGACCACACTTAATGTGTCTGAGCAGGGAATGTCACACCAGAGGATGGTGGTCTGCTGAGCCTGGCACTGGAGGGTGTCGAGACAGTCCTGCCTTTCCTTCTGGTACAGTGACAAGGACAGTGTGTCTGGAAGGACACTTGGAGGCCCCAAGTTAAACTTTGTTTTGATTTCAGCACCAGCAGAGATGCAGCTTGCAGAAATCAGTGAACTCCCTGACACTGCTCTGGGCAATTACTGGGCTGTGCTCGGAGGGGATGGCAGAGGGGATGAAGGAGAAGGGAAAACCTTCCTAGGAGCAGTAGCACAGCCAGGAATTCCTGGTGACCTCCAGTGTGTCACTATACTGAGTGGCACTGCTTATCCCAGGCACTGATAAATCTGTTTGTGCTGCAGGTGACCAACCAGGTGACAAGGGACAGCAGCAGTGGCCCACTGAAGCCAGCCCTCGGCCGCTCCTGGAGTTTCGTGCCCAGCACCCGGGTGCTGCTGGAGAGCAGAGAGGGCCCCTGGGAGAGACCCAGCACACAACGTGCAGCTTCCCTGGCCAAGTCACCCCGGCAGGTGAGTGAGCATCCATCCATGTGTCCATCTGTCATCCATCCATCCATGCATCCATCCATCCATGCATCCATCATCCATCCATCCATCCATCCATCCCTCCATCCCTCCCCAGCCTGGCAGTGGGAGAGCAGCTTGTGCAGCCTGGCTGGGTGCTGCAGAGAAGAGGAGCAGATCATCTGTTCCCAGCAGCCTGGGCTGAAGTTTTTAGGCAGGATAAATGAGTGGTACTATTTTATTTACAGGGAATGTCCTAACGAAGGCAGGAATGATGAATTTGCCTCCATGTTCTCAGAAAGCTCATTTACTATACTATATTAAAGAATACTATACTAAAGAATACAGAAAGGATACTTACTGAATGCTAAAAGATAATAAGGAAAACTCGTGACTCTCTCCAGAGTCTGACACAGCTTGGCCCCAGTTGGCCAAAGAGTGAAAACAACTCACAGCAGAATCCAATCAGACACTCACCTGTGGGTAAACAATCTCCAAACACATTCCAAAGGAGCAAAACACAGGAGAAGCAAATGAGATAAGAATTATTTTCCTTTTCTCTGAGGCTTCTCAGGCAAAAAATCCTGGGTGAAGGAATTTTTTCAGAGAATGTGAATGCCACATGGTACCGCTTCCAATCCAGGTCACTGTGTTCCTGGTGTTGGTTTCACCCTCCTGATGGTGTGTGGGCAGTGAGGGTCCTGTGGAAATGGCTCTGACACCTCCAAAGGTGACTTCAGCTGGCAGCCTGCCTGTGCACGGGCAGCATGATAGAGGGGTCTCCTCGAGCAAGGTCTCAGAAGCTCTTGGAGATCTACATCACACCCGAGATAGCTCAGCCACCTCAGATGGCATAAAATCAGCAGGATGGCTTCTATGGTAGTGTTGGAAACAGAGAAGTTTTAATAAAAGGCAAAATAACAAAGCTCTTTACAGAGAAAACCCAAGCCAGGGGCAAGAGGCTCTTGCTCCTGGTAAAACACCTCACAAAAGCAATATTTTCCTTTGTTCTCTTCTTTTTCTAGTGAATTGCTCAGGCAGGACTTTTTGGCTTCTGTCCAATTAGCTATCCTTAAGTTTGAGGTGAAGTCCCCAAGGCCCTATGAGGTGTCTTTTTACCTAATTGAGAAGAGAAACTTCTGGGCATTTTTTCTTTTTTAAGGAGTCAAAGGACAGTTTGGTCACTCAGTCAACAGAGGGCACATTCCTACTGAATTCCCCATTCAGCCCTGCCTGAGCCTTCTGGCTCTGAGCCTGCTCTGCTGCTTGATCCAAACAGATTTGGGTCTGCTGGTGTGCTAGGCAGTGAAATACATCCTGGATGTGCTAAATGATGGTGTGTCTGGAGATGTCTCAGAGCAAGATGTTCTTTCTTTGCTAAATTGTGTTGTCTATTTGTATCTCTGCATTCAGCAGGCCCAGTTAAAACAGGGGCACCAGCAGCAGGAATTCCTGAGGGGGATTAACTGGGATTTTGGCTCTGAGACAGGAGATGGAGTGATGTAGAGCCCAGCAGAGTGAGGATAAGCTTTGCTCTGTCCCTCCTTGCAGCCAACAGGGATCCAGGTGGAGCTGGACCTTGGAAATGGTGACGTGTTGGAGCCCAGCCTGGTGACAGCCACACAGGGACTCTGATGGGCTGGAAAAGCAGATGTCACAAGGCCCAAGAGAGCTGCACAAAAACAGGCAAGCACTGAAGGTTTTACAAACTGACTGAGAGTCCTGCAGCCCCGGGAAGGACCAACAAGAAAAATCTCTAGTGGAAAAACCAAATGTGGGTTTCCTGGAGACCTCTGTGCCTGGGCTGTGAGGTCAGCCAGGTCCTGTCCTCCTTGTCCTCACCCCCAGAGGGATCCCAAAAACATCCCTGTGTTTGGGATCAGCACAACCCCACAAATCCCCTGTGCTGGTTCTGTTGCCCCGTGGCTCCCTGCCCTCTGCAGTTCTGATCATCCTTGGGCCCTCAGTGGCCTTGGTTCAGAAATAAAACAAAAAAAAAAAGCTGTTGCACATTGCTGTGGTTGTTGAGAGCTGGAATTCAGTTAATGACAGCTGCTCTGAAGTTAATTAAAATGTTGAGCAGGCCTGGGGTGGGACAGGCTGCTGATGAGCAGGGACATAATGAGATCCTTGATCTTCCCCTCTCCCCAGAGGAGCCCCAGGCCCTGTGGGGACCTGCTGGTGGTTTTGGGGCACAGCTGGGCTGTGTAAAGCCTTGCTGCCAACTGATGGACGTTCTGATCTGGGTCAGATGGGTCCTGGCTGGCACCAGCTGGCCCTGCTGGATGCTCAAGGACCTATTCAATTGCATGTGGTGATGTTTAAAAAATGATCTTGCCCTGCTCCAGTGCTTTCCTGCTGCTCTTGTGTGCTCTTGGCAACCTTCTGAGGAGAGGGAGCCTTGGATGTGGAGTTTCCTCTTGATCCCAGATGTCTCAGATGCCCTCAGTTTAGGAGACCTCCTCGCCAGGTGAGCTGAGCCATGGCTTGCACTTCAAGGCAGCTGATGGAGAATTTGGGGGCTGGGACTAATTAGGGCATGCTCATTAAACTAACAGCACAGCACCACAGCTGCTGGAGCCCTCTAAGGCTGTGCTTGACACATTAAATACATATTTTTTACTGAAAACTTTCTGCAGTTGTGTATTTGTTTGCATTTCTGGGCTCTCCAGGCTCAGGAGGGGAGGTTTGGCTCCTGGGATTGCAGCCTGGTTGTTGGGGTGAGGAGGAAGAGGATGGTTTTCCTGTCCGCTGGAGACCTGTGCTGACGTGGCTGGAATTTACAAGCAGAAATTTACCTTATTAGCTAATTTCTTCTTAGTCAGTTCCTCGCTAGCTCCTCTCTTGGAGCTGTGGATAAAGGGGTGGTGCACACACAATTTAATTACTCATTTATCTCTCTGCCTCAGGTTCTGCAGGGGAAGTAAAGCTCTTGTGGGGGAGTGTGGAGCAGGGAAGAGCCAAACAGAAACCTCTGGGGTTATGTTTGAGCTAAGAGAGCTTTCCAGATGTTTCCTTCCCCTAAGCAGCAGGATGAGAAGAGGAACAAAATGCTCTGAACCCTCGTTAGAGTCAGCATGAGACCAACCATGTGTGATCCCTGAGAAAGGACAGGAGAAATTCCAGCCTTGCTGTGCTGAATTCCTGGCTGTGTTGCTGCAGGGAAGGTGTCACTGTGGCTGCTGGCTGTTTCAGTGTGGGGACAGCAGGGGAGTTCAGGGAATCTCTTACCCCATCTGGAAAAACCTGACTTCCTCCTCAAGCTGATTTGCCCTAAATTTGCATAGTAAAATCAGGCTTAAAGGAGGTTCTGACCTAAATATCCTCATTCAGCCTTTCCCCTCCATGCTCAGACAGGCACTCCTGCAGCTCTGTAATGCAGAGCTCAGGATGTTCTTTTCCCCTGCCTCTTCCCAATGCCCCAAACAGCTGGAAAACCTCTGGAAAGGCTTGGAGCAGGGCAGTGAATCCCATCCCAGGGCAGGCAGGGCACCTCTCACTCTAAGCAGCAGGGATGCCTTTTGACACTAGGGGCTTATTGGTCCTTTTGTACATTTTTTAAAATATATAAAAACATACATATATATTTAAAAAAAAAAAACCAAACCATATATATATACTTGTATATTTATTTGTATATATCTTTTATACATATAAAATACACATATAAATGTGTGTTTACAGGAATTGTGTGCACATATGTGTGTGCATGTACGGGCTGTACACATATGTGTGTCCATGCCTCTGTGAGTCTGTATCTCAGTGTCAGAGGACAGGAGTCTCACGCTGTGCCAGGGCAGGTTCAGGCTGGACGTGAGGAGGAAGGAAGGGTGATTAAACTCGGGAATGGTGGAGTCACCATCCCTGGGGTGCTCAGGGAGAGACTGGATGGCTGGCCGATGAGATGTATTCCATGCCGATTGATTCTGTGATCTCTCGGTGTATGCTCCCTTCCCGTGCAATGCCGTGCGCACCCAGGGACTCCCCCAGCGCACAGGAACCCCGTAGTATCCCCTCCTTCTCTTCCTCCTCCTCCTCCTCCTCCTCCCACCTGCCCGCGGCGGGTCTCGAACCCGCGGATCTCGGCGCCCCCGCGGAGTCCTCCCGGCCGCCAGGGGGCGGTGCTGCCCCGCCCGGCTGCGCTGGGGCCGCTCCGGGCCCCGCGGGCAGTTGCCATAGCGCCGCCGCCGCCGAGCGCAGGCACCGGGACGGGAGCGCCCGCCCCAGGCCCGCCGGCCCCGCCGCCACCCGGGACGCGGCTCCTCAGGGGGAAGGTGAGGCCCCTGCGGCCCGGCTGGGGTCGGGGGGCTGCCAGGTGTGAGGGGCTGGGAGCGTCTGGGGAGGCTGACAGGGGTGGAGCGCTGAGGGGAGCCGGCAGGTTCGGGAGCGTGGAGCCCTGAGGGGGCTGGCGGGTTCGGGGACGTGTGGGGGGCTTTGGGGGAGCGTTTGAGGGTTTGGGGGTGTGGGGCGGTGAGGAGGCTGCCGGTTTTGGGGGTGTGGGGCACTGGGGGCTGCCAGGGTAGAGAAGGGTGGATGGGGCAGGGGAGGGGGGCAGTGAATGTGGGGTCCGTGAGGCCGTGGAGCTGGCACTGAGGGTGAGCAGGAGCTCTGGTGGCTCTGGATTGGGGTGTTGGCAAGGGTAGGGGCACTGAGGGCACGGGGGCTGCCGGGATTTGGGGGGCACGGGGGCTGCCAGGATTTGGGGGGCACAGGGCAGGGGGAATGGGGCTGTGGGCTTGGGGCAGCTGCAGCACCTGGGTTTTGGTTTGGGCTGATGGGGTCAAGGGGCTCCCTCACAGGGTTTCCCTAATGAGGGGGAGTGGGACTCTGGTGCAGCCTCGTTTTTCATGTTAAGAGGGTGATGAGTAACTCTTCCCTTTCTGGGTTCTGCTCCCAGAGGGCCTCTGTGGTTCAGTAGGTTGTTCTGCTCAAATTGCTATGAGAGCTGAGGATTCTGGATAAGCACCAGCCTTCTGTAGAGCTCTCTGCTTAAATTATTGTCTCTTTGCATTTAGCATGTCCAAAGTGTAATTTGGTGTTAAGGACCTAAAAAATTTCCTTCTCTGCTCAAAGCTGGGGGCGTAGTGCAAAGTGAAAGCTGAGCAAGTCCTTCCTTTGCTGCAGAAGGCAAAAGTTGTTGAGAAAATAAAAGTGCTGGAGTGTCCTTCCGAGCAGTTTGTTCCTGTAAGCAGGTCAAGGTGTTTCCTGTGGGGAAAGCATTGACTCATTCTCAGGTTTCTTAGCAGTGTTTTGGTGTCTGCAGGTTAATAAATGTCAGCAGAGTCCTGCCTGGGTCTCCTCGGGTGAGAAGGCTGAGGATGGACAGGCTCAGTGTTTGAGGAGCAGGTACCCTCCAGAAAAAGCTCAGGTGTTTCCCAGCACTGCAAGGCCAGCTGGGCGTGCTTAGCCAAGCGCAGCACTAAAGGGAGATAGGAAGGGTTTAATTTTATGCTTCTTGGATTGAGCTGTGCTCAGGGTAATGTTTAATTGGCTGAGACAGAAGGGGTTTGTTTGTGTGTTTGTTTGAGCTCACTTCCTCCTCTGTGACACAGCATGTCCTCTGTGGGGAGCACAGGATGTCAGCTCAGATGTTGGGTGGGGAGAGCTGCTCCACAGCAGTGCAGGGACCTGTGGCACTTCTCTGTCCTTTCCAACCTCACTGGGGAGTTGGTGAAGAGCTTAGCAGATCTACAAGGAGCTTTTTTAGCTCTCCATATCATTAGGATGGGAGATGGTTGGTACATTTTAAATTGGTAATTTATTGTGTTTACACTCTGATGGGTTGTATTTCAACACTTCGAAGCTCAGATTTTAAGACAGATGATCATTAAGGCATGTACATGATTGTATCAACAAAAAGAGTTTTAATGCTTTGTTTTCCCACTGTTCCCTCATTTTTTCCAGACCTGAGGAGTGAAGCAGAAAGCTGTGATGAGCTTTACATGTTTCCTACAATTCCAGATCCTTGGTTTATCTACCTCCACCTATCAAATACTGAATCTCCTTAACTCCTTAGTGCCCACAGTGATGGAGAGGGATCTTGTAGTTGTTCTCTGTAATCACAATTGGTTTTGGTGGCACAGTTGGCTCTCATGAACCAAAACAATCACCTTTGGCTGTTGTGTTTCCCATTGGGGGCTGGGAATCCTGGAGCTGCAGCACTCTGTGACTGCACATCCATTCAGCTGGAGCACCTGAGCCTCTAATTAAAGGCTGAGTGCCTTGACAGTGGAGCTCATGGGTTAATGCTTAATTGCTCGAGTTTTTGCTGAATTGGGATAGTTTTGAAGTCATCACATGAGTGTTGTGTTTAATTGTAGGGTAGAAAAAGTAGGATGGCTTCCAGTGAGGCTCAGTCTTTCCCAGTGGCAGGTGCCATGTGATTTGGCTCCCAAAATCAGAGCTGAACGCACTGCTCTGCACTGAGAGCACAAAGGAATCAAAATGTGAGTTTTTGGGAGGTTAGTGGTCACTAGTTGAGTTTAGGACTGAAATCTGTCTTCTTCACATCTTCAGTTTTCTGTTTACTGTTGTTGACTTTAGTGTGGGTTTGTGTTGTTTTGTTTGTTTGTTAAATGGTGTAATTTTCACTTCTTGTGCAACTTTGCACCACGGTTTGTTGTTAGTAACAACTGAGATTGTAAACTCTTCAATTAGGCTGGAGCATGAGCTGAGCTCCAGTGCTGTTATTAAACCTGCAGTTTGGACTTTGAACCAGTTTTTGCCTGGAGGGGTGGAAGCAGATTTCCATGGTGTGTCTGCTCTGTGTGCCCCTCCTTTGCCAGCTCAGAGGGGCCCTGGAGCTGGGCAGGCTGTGTGTGACCCAGCACTGCAGTTTGTGTCCTCAGCTCTGGCTGGGGAAAGTGCTCTCCTCACCTAGGCTGTGCTGGTTTCACTGTAGGAAAATGGTGTTTAATTAAGGTTAGGCTACTTTCCTGTCCCTTCCAGTGGGTTTCCATAGGATATGGAATCACAGAGTGGATTGGGTTGGAAGGCTCTTAAAGATCACCTAATTAAAGATCCCCTGGCTCCATCTCTTCTCTAAACCTTCTGACCAGTCCTGATCTGAAGATAAGAAATCAAAACACATTGAACCAAGTACTTGTGCTTGATGAAACACACTGTGGGCAGCAGGATAATGAGAGCTGCAGAAAGGTGTGTGGCCCTTTTTTGGGACACAGCTGTGTGTGACCTGCTGCTGGACAGGGAGAGAGAATTTCTGGGTACCTGGCAGTTAAGAGAAATTGGTTCTTCTCTCTATTCCCAGCTCTGGCTACAGACACAGCCCAGCTTTACCTGGGTGCTGGAGTCTGGATTCAGCTCTGGAGGTGGTGCAGCCAGAGCCCTGCTGAGCTCCCTGGTGCTGCTGTGCCCTGTGCTCTGCCCTTCCATGGATTTACCTGGATGTTCCCCCAGCCCTCCCCTGACTGCCCACTGTGAACCCCCAGCCTGGCTCCTGCTCCCCAGAGTGATTCCAGTCGTTATCCCTGACAGTCCCTCTCTGGGGTTTCCCAAGCCTGTTTGCCTCCCCTTCCCAGGGACTGCCCTTGCAAAAGCCAGGGCTGGGAGTGTGAGCTCCCCTGAGCTGGCATTGAGGGAGCAGGGAAGGCTTTGCAGGGGTGAGT